GACAATCACCCTTCTTTCTTTCTTGGTGGAGGCAGTTCTGATGCGTGGAGTCGACCTCCTCGCCCTAGGCATCCTCCTGGGAACACTTTCTATCTCTTCCTCAGCTACCGGTCTCTCAATCTCCAGGGCCTCAAACCTGTTTTGTAAGGGCACCTGGGAAGGTGGGGCCGGAGGGGGAGGGCATCGCCTGCCACGTCGCACAGGGACCTGTCTCCACTCCTCCTCAGCTCCCAGATCCCCTCCCTCAGCCCGACGGCAACAGGGCAAGGGGTCCACCCCCGTTTGGGGTGTCTCACCCCGGTACCTCTCCTTGATGCCCTGCAGGGAGTTGCTCCAGAAGTCAATCTCCCGCTCACACTCCCTAATGGCCCTCAGCCTCTCCACCTCCTCCTTGAGCTCCGCCACCATGCGGACCAGGTCATCCACCTGCTCACACCTCACACACGCAGCGTCTCTGCCTCCCGTTGATGGCAGCAGCAGGCTCTGACACTCCCTGCATCCGTTGACCTGAACCGCTGCATTCCTTAACAGGCAGTCGGTCTGGGTGTGTACCGACCTCCTGCAGAGCGCTCCGTGCCTGGTGGAGACCATTATTACCTTGCTAACGACTGTCGTTAACAGGTGCTCGTGTGGGAGGGTGTTGCTCTCCGCCCTGCCTGCTCGCCCTGCCTGCGCTAACTGCCGCGCTAACTGCCGCGCCACTCCCTGTTTGCCCGTCCTGTTCGCCGCGCTCCTGGTCGCTCGCGCTCCCTAGGGGCTGCTTTTGAACGGCCGGGGAGGGGGCGCTGCTGGCTCCGCCTTCGCCTCGTCAGCGTCCCTCACGAGGGCTGCCGGCTCCTGGCGGCTCCCTGAAGTCGGCTCGATGCCGGAAAGTTAGCCCTGCCTGGCCCGATCCCCCGCTCCGCCGCAGAACGCGTCTGCCCCGGAGCCGATCGCCTCGGCAAATGGCAGTGAAATGGCGGTGGCGCCCGGTTTAAATAGCCCGCCGCTGTCGCTGCTGGCTCCGCCTTCGCCTCGTCAGCGTCCCTCACGAGGGCTGCCGGCTCCTGGCGGCTCCCTGAAGTCGGCTCGATGCCGGAAAGTTAGCCCTGCCTGGCCCGATCCCCCGCTCCGCCGCAGAACGCGTCTGCCCCGGAGCCGATCGCCTCGGCAAATGGCAGTGATATCTGTCCATGTAGGTCAAAAATGGGCATCTCAGTGGGTGGGTAGAATAACATTTGCATGAAATTATAATGCAATTTAGGTTTACACAACATCCACTGAGCACAGCAAGATGTTTTCTTTTATTCATAAAAAATCAATACACTCACAGTAAGATTTGGTATAGCTCATATATTTTAGAAGTATTTATGTCTTGTAGATGGAGGTATTAGTTCTATATCGTCTTGGCTAGACACTCACAGCCCTTCCCTGTGACAAAAAAACAAACAAACAAAGAAGACCAAAGTGCATCCCCCAACCCCACGTTATGGCTGCACAAGCCCTCTTGGACAGAGCAAAGGTAGCCGTGGGCAAGGCTCCTGTGCCCTTGCCCTGTGGCAGCGCTATCGGATCTGGGTGCAGGTCACCGTGGCATACGTCGTCATGTTTCTCATGTGCTGCACGGGACGAGGCTTTAGGGAGAAATGAAACCCTGTTACTTCAGCTGCTGACTGTGAGCCCTGCACAATGTGTGCGCACCAGGCTGCAGGAGTGCAGAAAGGAGCTGTGCACAGCTGTGCCATGACTCACCCTGTCCCGTTGAACGTGTGCGATGGTGGAGTCTGTGGGGGCAAAAAAACCACAGCATGAGCCCTTGCTGCCTGTTGGTGGAGAGCTGAAACTCACACTGACCTTGGGCAGCAGCTGCCTGTTGTCAGCTCTCAAAGCCTGGCCACATTTCCTCTCCCATCACCCTGATCTGGGATGAAAATTAAGCAGCAGCGATGGAGCAGAGATGCTGAGGTTTTGGTGTCTTTCCAGCTTTCTGTGGCATCTCCTCTCTCTGCACAGCCAGCACACCTTGCGAGCTGCTCTGTGCAGGCATGGGAAAACAAGTTCATGCTGCAACTTGAGCGAGGTGCAAATAGGGTGGGGATATATTTATAGCCTGTCACCCAACCACAACATCCTCCCTTGCCTGCTCTCTGTGGTATCAAAGAAAATTATAAAATGTTTTCCCCTGAAAAACAAGGAAAGAGAGCCAGATCTTTTATCGCTGCCGTGTCCTTTCAACCACATGAAAACAGAAATCGCTTTGTAGGAAAACTGAAGAAATGACAAAAGCAGAGGCTGAAGTGGGGAACTGCAGCCTGGGGCTGCAGCAGCTGTGGAAGGACTCCCCGAGGCAAAGGGGCTTTTTTCCTGTGAGCACTGATGTCATAATTTGCCCCCTTAATTTTTCAGAGAGCATTGTATTAATCATAGAAAGGAATTTATTGAGTAAGCCAACAGCAAGCAAAACAGCACTGGGACGCCGGGGAGTCTCGGCTCCGCCAATGGCGCGCGCCTCACCCCCGCCAGGGTCCCTTTTTATATCTTGGTAATTCTGGGATTACGCAGCACATCCTGGTATGTTCTGCGACTGCGCGCACTGTTGCTAGGGGGTCGTCTCTGTCCCTCTGGTGGTTGTGAAGACGAAGGCCGTAGTCTTCCTAGGCGTTGTGGTTCAACTTCTTTTTTTATTTGGTCATGTTGGCCCAGCGTGAGACAGGAAGGCAGGATGTTGATACACTAGTTTAGCAACTTACCAGGGGATGGTTACATGAGCTTTGCAGCAGTGTCTTTGAACAAAAGAGGCAACTGAGATGCAGAAGGAGAGAAGGGGAGGGGGTTCTCTTTTTTGTTACATTAAGCAAAAGAATTTTCATAGTGTCTAGCCAAGCTTTATACAGCTCCTTACTTCAGCAGGGAGCTTTTGCAACTCCTGCTCCTCAAACAGAACTCCTTGTTTTTATAATACAAAAGACAATGAACAAACATTTATTGTGTATTACACTGGGGATGGCGTGTTGATAGCTGTCCAGATGGGACTTAAATATCTCCAGAGGGAGAGTCCACAAGCTCCCTGGGCAGCCTGTTCCAGTGCTCTGTCACCCTCACTGTGAAGAACTTCTTTCACATGTTGATGTGGATCTTCCAGCGCTGCATTTTTTGACAATTGCCCCTTGTCCTATCCCCACAAACAACTGAAAAGAGGTTGTCCAAATCTCACTGTCTCCCACACTTAAGGTATTTGTATACATTGATAAGGTCTCCTCTCAGCCTCCTCTTCACAAGGCTGAAATTTGAGGGCAGCCTTGGTTGCAGCGACCATGGTATGGTGCAGTTCAGGATCTCATGGGGCAGGAAGAGAATACCGAGCAGAATCGTAACCCTGGACTTCAGTAGGGACAACTTTGGCTTTTTTAAGCAATTGCTATGGGAAATCCCATGGGGCAAGGTACTTAAATGTGTGGGGGCCAAGACAGTTGGTTAGTGTTCAGGGACTGCTTCTTCCCAGCTCAAGATCCAAGCATCCCAACAGGTTGGAAGTCAGGAAAGAGAGCCTGGAGACTTGTTAAAGAGGGAATTGATGGGCATTTTTTTCTCAAGTGGAAGAGGAGAGTCTACAGACCATGGAAGGAGGATGAAGACTGTGAGTTGAGATAAGGACAGTTTATTCAGACAGGAAAATAATAATAACAACAATGCGAAATGTGTTCATCTGATTCGTGTCAATATGGAACAATGCTAGGGCCGCATGGTATTATGAATGTGACCTTCTGTCTTACATACACTTAAATAACCACAAGTCTTAGAAAAACAGAGTGGTTAATGTATATAGTTCTTGTATCTTGCAAAGGAATGGTCCAGCAATTCGTGTCAATAGAGAGCTTGAACGGAAATGTATTTGTAGGCTTTTCCTTGGAGTCTCTGATATCTGGGGGGGGTAACTGCTACCTATTATGACTACTGCATGGGACACTATGCAAGTCTCTGCTATCTGGCCAGGAGATTAAGGAGATGGGGAGAGCTGAAAAACAACGAAAAGACAAAGCTTACAAGGGATGTTGTACAAGTCTCTGACATCCGTCCAAGCTGGACAAAGGCGAAGGACAAGAGGGAGTAAGACTAAGAGCCTTCAGCACGAGAGACCCCCAGAGGGACCACCAGAGACTGATACGCATGCTCCAGTAGGAGGGTTTGGATTACAGAAACTAATTATAATAACCCTGTTTTTTTTAGAAGGAGTAATGAATATGTATTAGCCTAGGAGAATAAAAATCAGCTGCTTGATGTAACTGGTGTGTGTCTTGGTGGAGCAGAGAGTCTCGGCGCACCCAGCGCTGTTTGGTTAACTCTATTCCTTTAATAAATTGTAAACTTTGATTATAGTCCTATTTTGAAGACTGAGCCATTTATTACAACAATAACAATAACAATAGTGATGATAATAGTACGACTGGCTGGCAGAGGGGCTCAGGCTGCACAGCATTGCACAAGCAACAAGAGGCTAAGCATCGGCAGGGGATGCAGCAGTGCTGTGCCCACACGGGGGTGTAAGGGACAGAAATGTATTTGGGAGAAGCTGTACATGCTTCCTAGCTTAATGGACACCTGTAAAACTATGAGACAAATCTGGCAAAGGGAAAAGGGGCAGGAGGCCATGTAGGAAAAATACTGCCCTTGAGATACATGTAAAAACAGCAAGAGTTGCGGTGTGTGAGAGGACAGAAATAACAGTGGGGGCTCAACAAAAGCAGCGGATGTAGCAGGGACTGAGAAAGATTACTCTGTGGGCCAGGGTCAGGCGGCCACAGAAAGCCCACAGGACAGCTCCCAGCTGCACTGCAAGCCTCTGTCCTACCATCCCCACCTCACAGCAAAGCAGACACCTGAAGCAGACGCTGCTCCCCAAAAGCAGCGCCCCAAAAGATGCTGGGGCAGGTGCCATGGGCAAGGCTGTCACCTTCTGGCCCTGCCATCCTGCTGCTGGCACTCTGTGAGTTGGGGCATTGCTGGGTGTGGAAGCTGAGGGCTGGAGGGCTGCTACTGGCAGGACAGGCCAGTTGTGGGCAGAGGGGAGGATGGGGACAGCATGTGTGGGGCAGTGGTGCAGCACTGTGGGGAAGAGTTTCTTTGGGGAAGGCAGGAGGTCGCTGCCCCTCTAATCAAAGCTCTCTCTGCCCCTTGCTGCAGGTGCTGGAGTGACCACCCAGGACTTCTGCAGCTCTCCAGGATTGCAGGAGCATGGAGGTGGGTCCCAAAAATGAACGTGTCCTGGGGAAAGAGATGGGATCGTTGAAGGGGAATATTCCCTCACAATTCTCCCTGAGAAGCCCCAGGAGAGCAGACTCTCCCAGCCTTGGCATGCAGTTGGTTTTGCCACCTGGCAGTCACTAACGCTTGCCTGGGGAATCCCTCTGCCTTCTTTGCAGGTAACTACCAGGCTCCAGTCCTGTACCTCAACACTTCCAGTGCCGAGGAGGGGGAAGTAGTTTTCTTTCAATGTACCATTGATGCTCATTTTCCTGCTACGCGAGTTGTCTTCTGCAAGAACGGGATGGAGGAGCACAGCCTGAAAGCTCAGCTGGGCAGGGTCATCTACCCTCTAGTAGTGAATATCACCTCCAAAAGTGCTGGGACGTACACGTGTGGGTACCAGCAGAGGAATGACAGCAACTGGGTGAGGAGCTCTGCTCTCAGTGCTCCCTGGACGCTGTCTGTGGCAGGTGAGACACAGCCCCAGGGTGGTGGGGACAGAAGGGACTGGGACACCACAGAGGCTGGAGCTGTGTGCTGCAGTAGGCAGGGCATGGCTCTGGGGTGGTTCCCCCACGGGAGTGTTCCCTCTCCTCCAAGAGAGCCCCTCGAGAGAAAGCTGCCCTCAAGGGTCCACCACTGCTGCAGACTTGGGGATGTGATGGGTTGAGGCACAGATAGCAAGGGCTGGGATGTTGCTGGACCCTATGTTGAGATATGGTTGCTCAAAGGTCTGCCCTTTACAGTGAAGTGACTGTGGAATACATATTATTGTCATGAGATGGGCTCGAGCCTATATGTGAGTAAAAGAGTGGTCTGGTAAACAGAGGGGAGACAACAGTGGTGCTGGTTTGTGACACCAGGTTGGGAAAGACAGTGGAGGGAACCTGGGGGTGCACAGCTGGGGCAGACGGTGCCTGGGGGTGATGGCTGTGGGCAGCCCAGCTGGGGAGGCTGCTGAGGGAGCTGGGGAGCTTCAGCCTTTGTTCCCCAGCCCCGAGATGGGAGCCAGGGCCAGGCAGCCTGTTTGTGCCAGGTGAGATATGGCCCCAGGGTGGTTTGGACAGAAGGGATGGGGACACTGCAGAGGCTGGAGCTGTGTACTGCAACAGGTAGGGCATGACTGTGGTGTAGATCCACCATGTGAGTGTTCCCTCTCCTCTAAGGCGGCCGCTAGAGAAAGAGCTGAACTCAGAGGTACCCCTGTCCCTCCTGTAGTGCCTCTGCAGCAGAGATAGGGCTGCATCGAGCACTGAAATAGAGAACATGGGCTGGGGTTGTCTGTGGACCCTGGGGTGTTCCACTACCGCTCTAGGATGTCCCTCTAACCTTTACAAATCTGTGTCTGGGAACATACATGGAAAGGCTTGCTCATGTTCCCTGTGTGCTCAAGGAAGCAAGACATGAGCTCAGCATCTCCCCAGCATCTGGGATTGTCCCAAAAGAGAGTTCAAGGGACTCACGGCATGTTCATGTCTCCCACAGGCAGCAGCCCCTCACACAAGGCCCAGCTCCCTTCCAGAGGTGAGACATTGCTCATCAGCCCTTCCCAGCACAGCTGTCCTCCAAGGCTTGCCTTGGCCACACTGTGTTCCTCCTCTCTCCCAGGGTCAGCCATGCCCCTGGAGGTCTGGATCCTGCGCTCTGCCCTCAGCCTGCTCCTGCTGCTGTCTGCCCCCATCATCACCCTCCTCCTGGAGAGATGCAGCCACGGTGCCCACGAGGCCAGGCAGCCCTGAGACGTCCCTGTCGCCATGGTGCTCTGATGTCCCCCTGGGCTCCATGCTTTCCCCAGCCTGCTCCATCATGCTCAGGGCATGCCCCCCACACATTTGCCAGACTCCCGCTGCCGTTGGGTTCAAGGCAGCTGTGGCAGCATGCCCAAGGGATGTGCTGCCACTGCTCTGCTTTCCTTGGCTCAGCGCCTGCTCTCTGCTTACATCAAGGATTACCACTGGATCGCAGACCCTCCCAGCTGGGTTCAACCCCAGCACCCACATGGCTGCCCTGCCTGCTCTCAGAATCACATCTACATCATAGGATACACCTCTACATACCGGGAAAACGTGAGGGGATGGAGTCATGGCTGTACCCCCAGGAAGCCATGCTCTGCAGCTCCTGCATCACTCCAGCACCTTCCTGTGCCCAGGGTGGTGCTGGCCGCGATGGGCACATCCCCAAATGATTACGATGCCCCCTCTCGAGGCACCTTGGTGGGTATTGGTCATGTTGGAGGCGAGTTATAAAGGATTGGTTTAGAATGCACCAGCTGATGTTGCTGCTCTGTATTTAAGAGGGAAGCCAGCAAACAGAGCTGGGAGAGCTGCTCTATGACTGCCATATGGGGCCATGTGTCCTGCAAGGGAGCTGCTGTTCCCTTTGCCCTGCCACCCAAGAGTTCCCCTACCTGCTGGCATTGCCCTGGCAGATTGGCATGGAAAAGTGCTGCTGTGAGGATGGCTGAGGCCATGCAGATGTCCAGGGGGTGGCCATGCCTGGCACTCTGCATCCCATGCACACCCATCCCTGTGCTTGGTCTTTTTTCTCTCAACACGCCATCCCCAGTAGACAGCCCTGAGCAGGGACATTGTGCATGGGGGCATCGAACTGTGGGGCAGGTGGGGATGGGGTCTCAGCATGGATGACCCCCACACCCACAGACCATCCCCAGCCTTACACTATGGGGTTTTAGCCATCCCACACCAATACCTGGAAGGAGTCAAGGTGTCCCTTCTCTGCAGCTCCCAGTACTGACATCTGGGGCCTTGGTGTGCAGTGGGGTTCTCTGGGACAAGATGGGTTCAGGCAGGACAGGAGCTGCCCTACTGGGAGGCACTTGGCTGCATGGCTGCACGGAGAGAATAGGGGATAAGAAAATGGGGTCAAAACTCAGCAAGAGCTGCTTGGAGGCAGAGCTGGAGGGGACATGGGTTTCACGCTCCTTCCTGCAAGCACATTCCCTCACCTCCCATGCCTTCATCAAAGCACTTGTCCCACATTTTTCTTCAGGCCCATGCATGCATGCTTCACAGCACAAGCCTCCAGGATACTCTTCCTCAAAGGGAATATACAGATTTGGGTGGACAGAGCTACTCCCTCATTCTCATACAGCCTCCAAACCTCCCTGGTGAGCGAGTTGCACTGTGGTGCCAGCTGCAAACTTTCTGAGGGAAACCCCTGACCAGCATCCTGAGAGTAATGAAGATGTTGAATGGAATTGGATGTAATTTGGATCTCTGGAGTACGCTGCTAGTGAGCAGCCTTCAGCCAGTATGATACAATTGCCTAAAGTAACTAGGAAAATGAAACTAACATTCACATTGTAAAGAAAATGTACAGCATTGAAGAGGCTTTCAGGGTAGGGCATAGCTGCATTACCTAAGCGTTCCATAGGCTTCCAACCTTAGATGCTATCACACTGGGGGTACCTGTTGTGCAGGCTCTAAGGAACAGTATGGAGCATAGAGTGGAGTGGAGACACCGCAGCTAGGCTCTGTGACCAGGTGGGGACTCGATTGTTCTTGTGCACAGTGAGACCGATAAGCCGCACTTTTTGCAACCCTGAGCCAAGGGCCTGTCATGTTTTAACAAATGCTGTACCCTTGTGTACTTTTCCTCATTGAAATATCATTATAATACCAAAACACACCTCCATCCCAAAAGCTACCTGCCTCCAATGAGCGACCACCCCTCACTGAGCATGCACTCTGAATTTCTCAGAGCCTATTACTTTAACCAAAATGGGAGAACATTTCATCAGTCACATGCTTGACTAGAGTCATTCAAGCTCCACCTGAAAGATAGAAAATAATATAAAGTGGCCTAAGAGAGAGGGGATGTTAGGGAAGATACCACCGTCAGGGGAGATACCACCCCGAGGGAATACACCATCCTGAGGACCTCCTGACTCCTGGGATCAGTTGATGGGCTGAGCTTCTCTTCCACCCTCTCCCCCAATGGGATGCCTTTGTCTGAGATTTGAACACGTGGCTATACTGTGTGTCTCCGCGGAAACTTTGAAATCTCTATAGAGTCTTTGTGCCTTTTAACACACTTCCAGGTTGCACACCTGTGTCACCTACATGTATGTCACCTGTGTATTTCATACATGCTAGCTTGCTTTTGCAGACAGTAACTATGGCTGGCAATCCAAAGAACCTGTGTAACTGTTGCTGTAATAAATCACACTTGAATGCATTGTTCCTACCCATGATAGTGTGAAATGTGTTCATCTGATTCGTGTCAATATGGAACAATCCTCGGGCCACATGATATGATGAAATGTGACCTTCTGTCTTTCATACTCTTGTATAACCACAAGTCTAAGAAAAGCAGGGTGGTTAATGCATATAGTTCTTGTATCTTACAAAGGAATGTTCCAGCAAGAGTTGTCAATAGGGGATAAGAGAACAAAGGGGTTTCAGAATAACTGCTACCTATGATGACTATTGCATGGGACACTATGCAAGTCTCTGATATCTGGCCAGGAGACTAAGGAGAAGGGGAAAGCTGAAGGATGACTCAAAGACAAAGCTTGCAGGGGACACAGCACAAGTTTCTGACATCCGGCCAAGTTGGACAAAGGAGAAAGACAAGAAAAATAGCCTGAGAGGAAGACTACGAGCCTTCAGCATGAGAGAACCCCAGAGGGACCACTGGAGACTGATACGCATGTGCCAGTAGGAGGGCTCAGATTCTGGGAACTAATTATAATAACCCTGCCTTTTCTAGAAGTAACATGTAGGAGCCTAGGAGCATAAAAACCACATGCCTGATGTAACTGTTGTGCGTCTTGGTGGAGTAGAGACTCCCGACACACCCAGCACTGTTTGCTTACCTCTATCCGTTTAATAAGTTGTAAATTTTGTAATCCTATTTGGTACTTAGTCATTTATTACAATAGTTCTCATTAAACACAACTAGAGTAAGGGTGGTTATACGTTTTTGGTGAATCCGTGACCATGGTAGTTCAGTGCTCTGAATCCAACCAGGCGCCTAATGGTTAATGAGGTATTGGTGAATCTGTGATTGGGATAGTTCAGTACCATGAATCCGACCGGACCCATAACAGTTAATCAGCTACACCCCTTAACACGACACCAGACCACCTGGTTCTGCGTGGGCTCCTCTCCAGGGGCTGCAGCTCCAGCCTAAGGCCTGCTCCTGTGGGGCCTTTCCATGGGCCACAGTCACCTGCTCCACCAGGGGCTCCTCCACGGGCTGCAGCGTGGAGATCTGCTCCATGTGGGACCCAAGGGTGCAGGGGGACAGCCTGCTCCACCAGGGGCTTCTGCACAAGCCGCAGGGGAACTTGTGCTGCATGCCTGGAGCACCTCCTTCCCTCCTGCTGCACTGACCTTGGTGCCTGCAGGGCTGGTTCTCATTCTTCCCTCTACTACTTGTTGTGCAGCAGGTTTCCTTCCCTTCTAAAATATTCCCTCACAGATGTACAATCAGCATCGCTTTTTGGCTCAGCTTTGGCCTGCAGCAGGTCCCTTTGGAGCAGTCTGACACAGGCCCTTTTCAAATAGGAGGCAGCTTCTCACGGAGGACACCTCTGCAGACCCCCACTACCTGCCCACATAACCCCAATACAGCTGCACAGTGCAGGGCACAGTTTGCTTCCCCTTGGAGGAGCGTCCAGTACACCTGCAATAGACGGTGCCAGGGGTGCAAACACAGCCCTGCCATTTGCCATGGAGTAATGCAGATGGCTGTGGAACAAGGGCAAGCTCCTGAGCACCTGCAGTGCATTGATGGCAGCCTCATGTGGGGCAGCAAAGCAGAAGAATTCTTGAGAAAATAAAAAAGTCACCCCAATTCTCCTGAAGGCTGGTTTTGCCATTGGCCAGAGCAAGGTCAAGGGACATTCACAGGAAATGTGAAACTTGGGTGTAAAATGGTAAGGTGGATGTTGCTATATCCCAGTGGGTGAGGTCAGTGAGGTAACAACTGCATCCCTACCAGCTAAAAGGAAAGAAACTCAAGGTTTCCTTAGGCCTTGTGGGTTTCTGGAGAAGGCATATTGCATGCTGTGGGGAGCTTCTGAGCCCTCCCTAAGAAGTAACCTGAAAGAAGAGCACTTTGAAGTGGGAAGAGGTGAAAGTGGGTGTTCAAAAGGCTGCAATGGGAGCCCTTGGGCCTATGTGTACAGGCCCAGCTGTGTCAGTGATGTTTCACACTGCAGGTGGGGAAAATGACCTGGCCAGGAGCCTTTGGCAGGAAAGAGCAGGAGAAAGCTGAGGTTGTCCTCTGCCTTCTGGAGCCAGGCTGTTGAGGATCAGAAACCCATGATGCTCCAAGTGCCAAAAGAGAGCCAGGGAGTCATGCCCAAAGGAAAATGGTGGGTCATGGGCCCAGAAACAAAGCATTCCTTGGGTCTAGCACATCCCAGGTCACTCAACAACCTCTGGAAAGATTGAGCCATATCATGGAGTCTTAAAGGCTCTAGTGAATCTATTGGGTGCAGAGGCACTGGAGCACTTGGCTGGATATTGTTCAGAAGCTACTTGTCTGATTAAGAGCAGAGCATTTTGAGGAAGGGAATTGAGAGAGCAGCATGGGGGAGCTCTGGTGCCTTCAGCACGAAGCCTCTGCCTTTCCTGGTTGTTGTGTGGTCACATGAGGGTCAAAATGTGGGTGCAGATGGCTCCCACAGTGCTGTGCTGGCAGCAGTATGGCCCCATCTGAGACTCCCTGAGAGTTCTTCATAAGCTGATTCACCAACAGGATGAAGGAGAATTCTGCCCAAAGCCTTGGCAACTGCCCTAGAGCTCTGAAGTCACTTTGGCCTTGATGCAGGATTCCCCTGGTGCTGTCATGTTTTGTAGAGACGTTGAAGAAAAGCAGAGCGATGTAATCAGAAAAAGGCAAAGCTGAGTGGACAAGGGGCAGGAGGGCTTTGCAGGGGGATGCTGCCCTTGAAATACTTGTTAAAACTGTGGTTTCAGAGAGAGTGTGTTCAGAAGAGGGTAAAACAATGAACAGTGTTGGGATAAAGAGCAGAAGGGCTTTGCAAGGAGGATGCCGTCGCTAAGATAGAAGTAAAAACAGTGCGTGCTGTGGTGTGTGAGAGGATAAAAATAAGAGTGGGGGCTCTCAAACTGAAGCAGATACAGAAGGGTCTGAGGTAGGGCCCCTCTAATTAGAGCCTCTGCCTGTGGGCCAGGGTCAGGCGGCCACAAAAAGCCCACAGAACAGCTCCCAGCTGCACTGCAAGCCTCTGTCTCAGTATCCCCAGCTCACAGCAAAGAAGACACCTGAAACAGACGGTACTCCCCAAAAGCAGCACCCCAAAAGATGCTGCAGCACGCGCCATGGGCAAGGCTGTCTCCTTCTGGCCCTGCCGTCCTGCTGCTGGCACTCTGTGAGTTGGGGCATTGCTGGGTGTGGGGGCTGAGGGCTGGAGGTCTGCTGCTGTGGGCAGGACAGGCCCATGGTGGGCACAGGGGAGGGTGGGGACAGCATGTGTGGGGCAGGCATGCAGCTCTGTATAGCAGAGCTGTTTTGGGGAAGGCTAGATGGCAATTGTTTCCTCCAAGTATAATATAGGTCTGAGCAAGGGGCACACATCTCCAGCACCATAAATTGTCTGGATGTTTGCTCTGAGGCTCTAGGAGTGCTGAATTCTTTACAGAGCTATGGGACTTACCTGGAATCAGAAATCCACACAAAATGGGATTGGAAGTGGTATTCTTTGAGGGGATATTGAAGAGAGACAGCATGAGAACATGCAGGTGTGATGGTGGCTGCTTAGCAGTGAGGATGTGGGCAGGGGCATCAGGATGAGCTCCTCTCACAAATCCCTCTCTGTCCCTTGGTACAGGTGGCAGCATGAGCTCCCAGAACATCTGCAGCTCCCCAGGTACTCGTGAGTCCTTCCCTCCCAGACCCAGGGCACTTGGAAGCCCAACCACTGTGAGCTCTGCCCTATGGCAGCCCTTCACTGCTGTGTCTCTTCCAGGGGATCTCCCAGCTCCTGCTCTCCAAATGAAATCATCTTCTGCTCAGCCAGGTACCACAGTTGTGCTCCAGTGTATTCTCCATGTGGTGTCACCTGTAAGAAAAATCATCTTCTGCAAGGATGGGAAGGAGCTATACAGTCTGAAAGCCCATCAAGGGCAGCTGAGCTACTCCGTTGTCCTGAACATCACGTCAAGAAGATATGCAGGAAGATATACATGTGGGTACCAGGATTGGAATGAGATGAAACACAGGAGGAGCTCTGCCCTCAGTGCTGGCCTCATCCTGGATGTCCCAGGTGAGACATGTCCCTGGGCTGGAGGGGTGAGAAGGGACGGAGGCACTTGCCACCACATGGCTGTGCTGAGGCTGGAGCTGTGTGCTGCAGCAGGCTCTGGGGTGGGTGCCCCATGGGAGTGTTCCCTCTCCTCAGAGGCAGACATGAGAGAAAACTGCTCTCAGGGAGTCCCCGTGTCCCTGCAGCAGCACCTCTGCTGCAGACATGGGGCTGTGCCACCCAGGCACAGAGAGCAAGGGCTGGAGATGTGGATGGATGCTGGGTTGAGCCAGGGATGCTCCAAGGTCTGCCCTGTGCATTGATGAGTGTATGTCAGGGCAAGTGGGATGATTGTCACAAGCTGGGCTGTTACCTATATGTGAGGAAGGAGACTAAATTTATGTCTCTAAAATGCAGCTGGAGTCATAGTGTGTAGAGATGGAGGTGTTGGAGTGCTTAGGGGTCCAGGGACCTCTACCTGCAATCGCAAACCAACAAAGAGTTTCTTGGATTGGCTTGAGGGAGGACACCACGTAGATGCTGCTTGGACACAGCGGTGGGAAAGTGTAGCTTAGCAAGGACCAACAGTGGGGGCATGGTCATAGGGGTTCATGAGGTGTTTACCCCTCTAAGCAAACTGCTTGGTGCCCCAAAGTGCAAGTGCTTCCATAACCACCCAGAACATCCACAGCTCCCCATGTGAGGACGAGCAGGCAGATGTGCCAGCTGCACGGGCACATCCTGCTCCTTGCCTCTCCCCATCACACCCTGCTGCCCTCACACAGTCTCTCCCCCAGCTCCACATGCCCAGCTCCCCACAGGTATGGTGCTGACAGTGGCGGCCGTTGGCCTCGTCCTCCTGACTGCAGGCAGCTGGTTTGCCATCAGGAAAGGTGAGGGAGTGGGGTGAAGGCAGGGGGAAGGCTGAGGCCATGGTGTCCTGCTGCGGGGCTGGTGCAGAGGCAAAAGTGGTGGTGGGAACTTTGGGGTGTGCAGCTGGGGCAGACGGTGCCTGGGGGCGATGGCTGTAGGCAGCCCAGCTGGGGAGGCTGCTGAGGGAGCTGGGGAGCTTCAGCCTTCATCCCCCAGCCCCAAGATGGGAGCCAGGGCTGGGCAGCACCTTGGCCTGTGCACCTCAGCCCCTGTTCTTCTTGCAGGTGCCTGCAGAGGGAGATGCCCAAGGTGAGCACCAAGGGCTGCTGGCTGTGGGGTTTGTTGGAGGGAGTTGGGGGCATGGCGGGCCCTGGGGTGTTGCATGGCCAGGGGCAGATTTGTCCTTCTGTGTGACTGCATTCCCTGTGCTGCAGGCATGGGAGAAGTGTCTTGCTTTTGGGTGGACTTCAGCTGAATCCTGGAAGGATTATAGCATCATCCATGGGAATGGCCCAAATGGCCCTGTGGTTCTTTGTGGCAGTGGTGCTGCAGACCTTCAGGACATTTTTTCTCTCTGCTCTCTAGGCCTCTCCATGGTGCTGGCAGTGCTCAAGGCTCTTCTGCTGACCCCAGCCATTTCTGTAAGTGCCAGTCCCTTCTTCACCCTTCTCCTCTAGGCACTATGTGAAGTTCTGATGCCTTTGCCATAGCAAGCCGTAATCATGGGGGCAACGGTGGTGGGGAATGGGGAAGCACTACCTGCTGTGTGTGGCTGGACACTAATTCATGTTCTCCCTCCAGATGCCAACGTGGATGAGATGGGCAGAGTGAAGGTGAGTTCAGCCCAAGCACAGCCTTGCAGGCTGAACCTGCACGTGATGGTTGCGAGAGGGCAGGCTTTTGGAGAGCAAATGCAAGCCAAAAGTGCTTCTGATGGCAGGAGCCTGGGAGCTTCGTGTGGCTGTGCTCTGGCTGAATCCCCCTCCTTCCATGCTCCCAGCATTTCCCCATGGTGGGCACTGTGAGAGCAAGGCCACTCCTTGTTCTCCCTTTTTTTTGCAGCTCATTCAATCCAACTGCTCTCAACACCCACTGGATGTCAAAAGCTGAGCAAGTGAGAGGCGATGCAGCTGGTTCTCTGAGAGAGGCAGAGAACACTGGGGAAAGCCGTGCTGATCTGTGAGCTGTGAATAAAGCCATCCCAAACAGGAAGGAGCTGGTGTATTTCTTCTTGGCAAGGTCTGTCTGCAAGGCTCTTCACATCCCTTCAGATCGATACCGCCAACCCTTTGTGTCTCGGTGTCTATCTGCCTGCTCCATCCCTTTCCATGCATGGCTTCATGAGTCGGAGGTGCCATCAGGAACACAAATTCAGAGATGTTTATTTGTCACCACAGCAAAACCACATCTGCAATACACACACCAACTGGAACATGTATGAGCACATCTGTGGTGGTTTTATCCAGGTGGGCGGCCGAGCTCCACCACAACTGCTCTCTCACTCCCCCTTCTGAAAGAGGAATGGGGAGACAAAACAATGAAAAGGGCTCCGGGGTTGAGATTAGATTGAGGATATGGCACAGTAATTATCGTGGAGGGCAAAACAGGCTCAGCATAGGGAGATAGTAAGATTTATTACCTTTTGCTAGCAAGCTAGAGAAGTGAGAAACAAAGGAAAGAAACCAAAAGAACCTTCCCCCCCATCCACCCTCTTCCAGCTCCTCCCCCTGTGTGGTGCAGGGGGATGGGGGGAATGGGGGTTATGGTCAGTCTACAGCACTTGTTCTCTGCCGCTCCTTCTCGGTCACTCTTGTCCCCTGTGCTGTGGGGTCCCTCCCACGGGATACAGTCCTTGGTGAACTGATACGGCATGGGCTGCTCACAGGCTACAGCTCTTCCAGAACTGCTCAAGATATGGATCCGTATCATGGGGTCCATCCCTCAGGAGCAAACTGCTCCAACCTGGCTCCCCCACGGGCAGCAGCTCCTGCCTGGTCACCTGCTCCTGTGTAGTCTCCTCTCCTTGGTCCAGCCCGGAATCTGCTCCAGCAGGGGTCTTCCACAGGCCACAGCCTCCATCGGTGCAGGGCCACCTGCTCCACTGTGGTCTCCTCCATGGGCTGAAGCGTGGAACCCTGGTACCGTGGTACTCTACGGACTACAGGGGGATATCCTGCTTCACCATGTTCCCCACTACAGGCCGCAGGGGACTTCTGCTCCCCTTCCTTCTTCACTGCGCTTAGTACCTGCAAGGCTGTTCCTCACTCCTGACGACTGAGGCTCATTCTGGGAAGGAGCTGGGTGCACCGTGGACTCTCAGCCTGTCCCCTTGTCTTGCCAGGCAGTGTGTCCAACTTCCCGGCAGGGCCATCATCCTCAGGAGAGTGATTCCCACCTGCACCTCAGGTCAAGTCAGAGATGTTTATTTGTCATCTAACCAAAACCACATCTGTAGTGCACACACCTATTGGGACACTCATGTGAGAACATCCCGGCAGTGCTATCTGTCCCTGCAGGTGCAAATGTGCATCTCTGTGGGTGGGTAGAAGAGCACCCCTGCGACTTTATAGTACAACTTAGGTTTACACATCATCCACTAAGCACAGTGAGAGATTTTCTTTTATTCAGAGAAAATACATTCACAGTATGATTTGGTATAGCCCATATACTTTAGAATTATTAATGTATTGTAGGTAGAGGTGTGATTCCTACATCGTCTTGGCTAGACAATCACAGCCTTTCCCTGTGACAACAAATCTCAATGGAGTTCAAATTGCAAACTCCAGCCCCACCTTACAGCTGCAGGAGCCCTCTTGAAGAGAGCAAAGGCAGCTGTGGGTGAGGCTCCAGTGCCCTTGCCCTGTGGCAGTGCTATTGGGTCTGGGTGTGGGTCACCATGCCTTACGTTGTGGTGTTGTTCATCTGTTGCATGGTAAGAGGCTTTAGGGAGAAATGAAAGCCCTGTTACTTCAGCTGCTGACTGTGAGCCCTGCACAATGTGTGGGCACCAGGCTGCAGAAGTGCAGAAAGGAGCTGTGCACAGCTGTGCCACGACTCACCCTGTCCCGTCGAGATGGTGGAGTCTGTGGGGGGCAAAAAAAATATACCATGAGCCCTTGCTGCCTGTTGGTGGAAAGCTGAAACTCACACTGACCTTGGGCAGCAGCTGCTTGTGGTCAGCACTCAATGCCCGGACACATTTCGCCTCTTATCATCCTGCTCTGGGATGAGCATTAAGCAGCAGTGGAGCAGAGATGCTGAAGTTTTGGTGTATTTCCAGCTTTCTGTGGCACCGCCTCTCTTTGCACAGCCAGCACACCTTGCAAACTGCTCTGTGCAGGCGTGGGAAAACAAGGTTGTGCTGACACTCGAGGGAGGTGCAAGTAGGGTGGGGATATATTTATAGCCTGTGACCCAACCACAACATCCTCCCTTGCCTGCTGCCTGTGGTTTCAGAGCAAACTATAAAATGTTTTCCCCACAAACGCAAGGAAACAGACCCACATTTTTCATTGCTGTTCTGTCCTTTCTACTAGAGGAAAACAGAAATTGCTTTGTAGAAAAACTGAAGAAAGGACAAAAGCAGAGGCCTAGCAGGGGAATTGAAGCCTTGGGCTGCAGCAGCTGTGGAAGGACCCCCCAGGCAAATGGGCTTTGTCCCTATGAGCACTGGGATGCTGCCATGTCCCTTGTGCAGCCAGCAGCCGCACGCACTCTGCATGCAAGGAAGAAGCAGGACGTGAGGTGCTGGAGAGAAACCTGGCCTTGATGAACAGGCAGGGATTTTGTATGTCCCAGTGGGAAATGAAGTGGTGTGACTGAATGGGGGCTTGCAGAGTATTTTCATGGGGAGAGGGGCGTGTGGCTTCCCCCAAGGGAGGAGGTAGTACTCACACTGGATGTCACCATAGTTGGTGTCTTCCGTCTGTGGGCTGTCAACGTGCTGCTGCCTGGAGAGGAATGGAAAGGTTCTGGGATGTGCATGTGCTGAGGAGGGGTCTGGAGGCTTATGCCCTTTGGTGTTGCTTTCCTGCATTTGGCATTGAACTGAAGGGCAGCCCAAGACAAGCCCCATCCTTCCTGCCTTCTGCACAGGGAATGCCACTGAACAAGGAGCACCCCAGGGCCCCACCATGCCCCCAACTCCCTCCTGCAAACCCCACAGCCAGCAGCTCTTGGTGCTCACCTTGGGCATCTCCCTCTGCAGGCACCTGCAAGAAGAGCAGGGGCTGAGATGCACAGGCCAAGGTGTTGCCCAGCACTGGCTCCCATCTCGGGGCTGGGGGACGAAGGCTGAAGCTCCCCAGCTCCCTCAGCAGCCTCCCCAGCTGGACTGCCCACAGCCATTGCCCCCAGGCACAGTCTACCCCAGCTGTGCACCCCCAGATTCCCACCAGTGCCTTTCCCAACCTGGTGTCACAAACCAGCACCACTGTTGTCTCCCCTCTGTTTACCAGACCACTCTTTTACTCACATATAGGCCTGAGCCCATCTCATGATTTCCCTGGTCACAGGTTCATCACTGTAAAGGGCAGACCTCGGAGCAACCATATCTCAACCTAGAGTCCATCAGCATCGCTGCCCTTGCACTCTGTCCCTCCGCCCAGCACATCCCCAAGTCTGCAGTAGAGGTGGACCCTTGAGAGCAGCTTTCTCTTGAGGGGCTCCCTTGGAGGAGAGGGAACACTCCCATGGGGGAACCACCCCAGAGCCATGCCCTGCCTACTGCAGCACACAGCTCGAGCCTCAGTGGTGTCCCCATCCCTTCTGTCCCCACCGACCTGGGCCTGTGTATCACCTGGAATAGAAAGGGTCCAGAGAGCACTGAGTGCAGAGCTCCTCACCCAGTTGCTCTCGTTGCTCTGCTGGTACCCACACATGTATGTCCCAGCACTTCTCGAGGTGATATTCACTACTAGAGGGTATATGCCCCTGCCCTGCTGAGCTTTCAGGCTGTGCTCCTCCAGCCCATTCTTGCAGAAGACAATGCATGTAGCAGGAAACTGAGCAGTAATGGTACAATGAAAGAAAACTATTTCCCCCTCCCGGGCACTGGAAGTGTTGAGGTACAGGACTGGAGTCTGGTAGTTCCCTAGAGTGAAGGAACGCAAAGGGATTCCCCAGGCAAGCGTTAGTGATTGCCTGGTGGCAAAACCAACTGCATGCCAAGGCAGGAAGAGTCTGCAGTCCTAGGGTTTACAGGGAGAATTTTGAGGGAATATCCCCTTCACTCTTCCTTTCTCCTTCCCCAGGACACTTTCAATTTCGGGAACCACGTCCATGCTCCCTCAGTCCTGAGAGGTCATTCCAGCACCTGCAGCATGGTGCAGAGAGAGCTTTGTTTAAAGTGGCAGCAACCTCCTGCCTTTCCCAAAACAACTGTACCCCACAGTGCTGCACACCTGCCCCACACACTCTGTCCCCATCCTCCCCTGTGGTCAACACTGGCCTGTCCTATTCCTTTTCCTATTGCTCGATTTGGCTCATTGTTTTGCAGTTCTCCATCAGGTTAGCAAACATCTGCAGCCTCTCCCAAATCCATTTCTCTCTCTTCTACACCCATGTAGGAAGAAAGAAAAGAGAACAGGAAATCATCCTCTACTTCCCATCAACGAGCAATATTGGACCATGTATGGAGAAGCAAGACCTTGATATGTGTAGCAGTGTCGCGTTAAAGGGGTGTAGATGATTAACCGTTACGGGCCCGGTTGGATTCAGAGTACTGAACCAGTTGAACATTCACCAAAAACACATTAACCATCTGGGGGTCCAGTCAGACATTCACCAAAAATGCATTAACGGTCTGGGGGTCCGTTCGGACATTCACTAAAAACGTATTAACTGTCTGGGGGTCCGTTCAGACATTCACCAAAAACGTATTAACCACCTGGGGGTCCAGTCAGACATTCACCAAAAATGCATTAACCGTCTGGGGGTCTGGTTAGATTCAGAACACTGAACTATCATGGATAACCACCCTCACCCTAGTTGCATTAATGAGAGCTATCACAATGCAATCAAGTATGGTTTATTACAGCAACAGATAATCAGGTTCTTTTGGATTGCCGGCGATAGTGACTGTCTGCAAAAGCAAGCTAGTATGCATGAAATACACAGGTGTTAAAGGTGTTACAGATGTGACAGGTGTTATAGGTGTTACAGATGTTATAGGTGTTACAGGTGTTATAGGTGTTACAGATATTATAGATGTTACAGGTGTTACAGGTGTTATAGGTGTTATAGGTGTACAGCCTAGAAATAAACGCGTTGAAAGGATTAAAGACTCTATATAGAGATTTATAAGTAAATATTCAGATCTCACCCAAAGGCATCCCAATGGGGGGGGAAGAGAGGCTCAGCCCGTCAACTGATCCCAGGAGTCAGGAGGTCCTAAGGATGCTGTATGTCCTCGGGATGGTATCTCCCCTGACGGTGTTATCTTCCCTACCATCCCCTCTCTCTTGGGCCAATTTATATTATTTTCTATCTTTTAGGTGGAGCTTGAGTGGCTCTAGTCAAGCATATCTTAGTTATGATTGGTGTAAAGTTTTCCCGTCTCCGTTTAAAGTAATAGGCTCCGAGAAATTCAGAGCGCATGCTCAGTGAGGGGTGGTCGCACCTTGGAGGCGGGTAGCTTTTGGGATGGAGGTGTGTTTTGGTATTATAATGATATTATAATGAGCAAAAGGTACACTAGGGTACAGCATTTGTCAAAACATGACAGGTCTTTGGCTTAGGATGGCAAAAAGTGCAGCTTTGTGCACAAGAACAATCGAGGTCCCACCTGATAACAGAGCCTAGCTGTGGTGTCTCCACTCCACTCTACGCTCCATGGTGTTCCTTAGAGCTAGCACACCAAGTTTCCCCAGCGCGATAGAATCTAAGGTTGGGAGCCTAGGGAACGCTCAGATAATGCAGTTATGCCCTACCCTGAAAGCCTCTTCAAAGCTGTACCTTTTCCTTAAAAATGTGAATGCTAGTTTTATTTTCCTAGTTTCTTCAGGCATTTACACCACAAGCAGTTTGGGAGGATAGATATATTTATAAGGAGAGACGCCCTTTCCCACCTATTGCTGAGTGTGACATCCTGTGTTATAGAAAACCCCTTTGGTCGGTTTAAGGCATGTAATATATGGCTCAGTCTTCAAAATAGGATTATAATCAAAGTTTACAATTTATTAAAGGAATAGAGGTAAGCAAACAGTACTGGGTGCGCCGGGAGTCTCTGCTCCACCAAGACGCACACCAGTTACATCAAGCAGCTGATTTTTATGCTCCTAGGCTGATACATATTCATTACTACTTCTAAAAAAAACTGGGTTATTATAATTAGTTTCTGGAATCCAAACCCTCCTTCTGGAGCATGCGTATCAGTCTCCGGTGGTCCCCCTGGGGTCTCTGGGGGTCTTTCATGCTGAAGGCTCGTAGTCTTCCTCTCAGTTTTTTTCCTTTGTACTCCTTGGCAGCATGTCAAAAGCTTACACAGGGTCCCCTGCAAGTTTTGTCTTCTATCCGTCCTTCAGCTTCTTTCTTCTCCTTAATCTCCTGGCCAGATATCAGGGGCTTGCATAGTGTCCCATTCAGCAGCCATAACAGTTACTAGTTGTTAGCAGTTGTTCTGAAACCCCCAGACATCAGAGACTTCAAAGAAAGAACATACAAATACAAATAGCTCTCTATGGACACTTCACGAATTGTTAAAACATTCCTCACAGGCTATTCACAGGGACACTCCAGTCACATCTATAGCAGTACTAAATCAATCACAAAGAAGGCAAAAAAGCTGTAACTGTTAGGAATAAGAGGTCAGAATCAGTAACAAAAGCAAATAGGCTCATGGATTTGAGGAATATTTCTGAAGATTTGATAAATTGACTATAATGAGGGGGAGACTGGGACACGGGGAGGAAAGGGAAGAAACCACATCTGTGGAAGAATTAAATTGCCAGTGCAGGACCCAGAGACAGACAGAACTGCTCTCTATTGACACGAATTGTTAAAACATACCTTTGCAAGGTACAAGAACTATATATATTAACCATTCTGTTTTTCTTAGACTTGTGGTTATACAAGGGTATGAAAGACAGAAGGTCACATTCATCATACCATGCAGCCCTAGCACTGTTCCATACTGACACGAATCAGATGAACATATCTCATAGGCAGCTGCCCTGGTGATGTACCCTCCCCACCTCTTGCCCACCCCCAGACCTACAGGGCCACTACAGGGATAGTTATCTCCATCCCAGCCAGACCCAGCACCCCTTAATAAACCCTAGTTACATCAACCCATCAATTTCCTATCTTTTGTCCTCTTCATTTTCTACCCTGATCCCATTGAGGTTTGACTGGGCAAGTAGCTTTGTTCTACTTGCCTACCCACTGGATGTAAACCTTAATTGCTCTTTTTGGCACACTACTTGGGGCCGCAAGGGTGGAGATAACCACAGATTTGGGCAGTAAATTTATGGTAGCGTCCTATTTGTTTTTTTTTTTTAACAAGTACTTTTTGGTTTGCTGATGTATTTTCACTAGGTGATCATACAAGGTCCCTTCCAATCCAAAACATTCTGCGATTCTGTGATTCTGTGATTCTATGTGTCCAGAGCACTGCCAGAGAAGCCCCCCTCCCTTCCCTCAGTAGTCTCTTTCCAGGTTTCCACAGTGCCTCGGGGCCACCAACCAGACGACAGCCTTTCCCACTCTTTTGCCAGTTGGGATCATTTCAGTCTCCAGTGCAGACAGCAGTTGGCATCCCCCTGTCCCTCCAGAAATACAAAGGGGTTCTGCCCCCAATAACCTGATGGCAGTAGGGTCCTCTGTGTATCACTGTCTACCAGAGCCTCATACTCTCATGGTTCTCATGTGCAAGGCCTTTGCATTCACACTGTCCAGTCAATGCCATTGACCATTTTCTCCACCTGGCTGGTGGCAGGGCCCTTCCAGTCCT